TTTTTTAAGTGAGTGGATTATTACTGCTCTAAGAGTTTTTTTAAAATTGAGTATTATTTAGGAACTTGTACAACTTCAACAGAACAGACTGCCAAAACAGCCTAGGTTTTGTTTGTAGGAAGCATAAATGGGTAAAATAAAGGCTTTATGGCAAATTATTTATAGGACCATGTAATGCACAAATTTTATTTAAAGCAATGGGTGTCAATGTTTGGTCCCAAGACCAGCAACATAAAAATCAGCTGGAAAATTTGTTAATGGTGAAAATTGACGGGCCCTAACTTAGAACTACTTGAATCAGAAAATCTGGGGATGGAGCCCAGGAATCTGTATTTTAAGAAACCCTCCTGGTGATTCTGATGCATGCTCAAGTTTGAGAACAACTGATTTGAGGAGTCACATATGTATCCTTCTGGCCTAGAAAGAAGTTTATAGTAAATCAGCTCAGTTACTATATGCTTAAGAACATATTTTGGCTGATAGATTCAGAAAATCAAATATTCAGCCACACAAAATGAAAATCTACTTTTGATCCATTTTCCAAGTTAAGGGTTCTCGGGCTTCTTGGGTTCACTTACAGCCACAAACTCCCATGAAAAACTAAAAGAACAGATCCAAATCCAGGTAAAACAGCTAATAGGACACTTGGCAGGCACGTAAGAAAACTTTTTATGTGTAGCAAGCTGCAAGCAAGAAAATACTCTTACAGAATTTATTCACGGAGATGGGATCAAAATCAATTATTAGCATTATCACCCATAGGATGCCGAAATAAGACTTTAGAATTTGTAACTTTTTGTTATTTAAAATTTATTGAGCACTGACAGTGTGGGATTGGAGTACTTTACAGAACACTCATAACCTTTGCCTTTGAGTCTTAAATTCCTTACAGCATGTACATTTTTTGAACACAATACAATGCGTGACATTGTAGATTACATGAACATAGAACTGAGTCCTTTTATAGTGGAATCTTGTGAGATTTTCTGTGCTTTATGTGCATCTCAGTAAGTGCTGACTAAACGTCTGGATGAAAATGGAGAATCTTATGTGAAAATGAAATGAAAAGCTATATGCCAAGCCACATTTGTAATCCTTTAACTCTTGGACTCTGCAGTCTGAACTCTACAGTAACAGAGCCATCTAATGACCACTGGGTCCAATTACAAGCAGATTGTCTGGGAATTATAGCGCACTCAATTTTCACAATGACATAATGGAATGATAACATATGCTTTGCAAATAAGCCATTTAAAAATCATTTCTATTTAGTTTTATAATACAATACATTTATGGGAATATATATTGCTAATTTCATTTGGCTAAAATATGCAAGGAGGCAGTCTTAGATGTTTGTGATTT